TTTCTTCTAGACTCGATGAATTACTTAATTATGATATATATATATATATATATGTTTGTGATTCTAAAAAATTCTAGGTTCCACTCACTTAAAATTTTTACCAAATGACTAAATATCTTTTGTCATTATGTACATTATAGAAATATAGACAGATCTTTTGTCATTAATACTCATGGAGTTACCAGTATATCTACGTATATATTAGATAGATATATTAGATGCATAGATATATTAGATTAGTATAGATAAATCAATCAAAAGATTGACCGATAGAGAGAGAGAGATCGATAATGAGAGAGAGCTGAAAATTACTTGGTTTAATGAGATAGATATGAACAGAATTAAATAGGAATATAGATATGAACATAGATAGATGGACAAGAATACGAATGTAGTAATTGGAGTGGTAGTGGAAGATCGCATCTTGCCATTTTTTAGAAGTAGAGAAGAGGAATGAGAGAGAAAGAAAGAGAGAGAAAAGAAGATCAAAAGTTGATTAAGATTGCATAACTGGAAATCTCAGTCTATTCTTATCTATCTATCTATCTATCTATCTATCTATCTATCTATCTATCTTCTTATCTATCTGTCTCAAAGATCAATGAATGTAAAAAGCGAACACGGAACCACTGTCTTGTTATCTTTGTGTATAACTTTGAAGCTTTTTAGTTACTTTTTTGTTATAGTCATATTACTTGAAATTTTGTATACTCCCCACCCATATACACGCGCTCTCAAACACGAACAAGGGAGATAATATTTGTTGGGTTTAGACTTGTTTAGTTCATGTGCGTGTGTTTAATTTTTCGCTCTCTTTTTTCTCTCTTCATATATATATATATATATATATATATATATATATATATATATATATATATATATATGTATGTTAAGCATCAATCCTTCTTTTTTATGCATGTTTTGTCAAATATTGACAAGGGATAAATTTTTTCTTCAAGTTTTCTCCGTGCATTTTTTTCAATGCATCAAATAAACATTAGGGACAATTTCTACACGTATTCACTCCTCAAAAATTGTAAGGATACAATAATATATATATATATATATATATATATATATATATATATATATATATATATGTGTGCGTGTGCGTGTGTATTACTTCAGACGTTATTTTTAGTAGATAGTCGATTAGGAAATAGACGCCGCGTCTATTGGCTTGTTCACTCGAGAAATCTTAATAAAGAAAATGTGCAGACCGATGGATAGAATACACCCTGTTAAAAAAAAAAACAGAAAAAAAATATAAAGGGCGTCTATTTCAAATACGGGTATCCACTAAAATGTTGCTTGAAGTAATAAAAATGTCAGAAATATATCAATTGAAACAAATATGGATGAAATCCGACTGAATTATTAAATAAGGAACAATTATGAAACATTAATAAATTTGCCGAATCTCGCTTTATTTTAACTTCAGCAGAAACTTTTAGACAGGAGTTATGAAAATGAATTTTTCCCAGAAATTTTTGATGAAATAAAAGCGAAACTTAAAATTTGGGAAATTTATAAACGTTTTCTATTTCTTCCTCATTTAATTATATATATATATTACACCAGACGCTTCCTCTGCAGCTAAATAGTATAGCACGTCAGGCTATATGACTGTTCCGTGTAGAATACAGGTTCGATTCCTGCCGGAGAACACATATTTTCTATGAAATTTCACGGATATTTAGGCTGGTTAATGTTAATACTATTTATTATAAACAGAACATTTACTTTACTTAAATATTTGTATCTACAAAAATAACGTATAAACAATAAATATAAATATATATACTTGGTCCACTTCATAATATATATATATATATATATATATATATATATACACAAACACACACACACTCTCAAAAGGTGCGATGGGTAAATTGTCACCATTTTATATTTTTAATTTCACTCATGTCCATTGTTTGATTTTGAGTTTTTTTGACTGCATTCAATATTAGGGTCTGTCGGGCACTGTGTGTGAGAAAAAAAAATCTACTATGATGCCATTCATTTCGCCAGAAATTTGGAAACGGCATGCAGTACTGTTTGGCATACGCGTCGGAAGCTCCAAGAAGAAAATTTCAGGGTGTTTAGTTGTCAACCTGAGGACAGTGCAGACAATTCCGAAAGAATTGGATGCATCTGTTGGTGAATACAAAGGTAGCTGGGGTGATAATTAGTGATGGCGGCGTTATGCCTCCATTCATCTTTCCACAGGGCCTCAAGACTCACTATAGAGGCCTACATTAAGTCCGTTGAGGAGGTTGTGTCGCCCTGGGTCAGGAGAGTGGCTGCTAAAAGATAATATGTTTGGCAACTGGACTCTGCACCATGCCACACAAGCAGGAGAACCCAGTCATGGCTGTCAGACAATTTGTGCGATCAAATAGCCACCTAACTCTCCAGACTTCACCCCTCACCTTGATCATCATGCGTGGGGCACAGTTGAGCGAGAGAACAATAAAACTTGCAACATCAAAGCTGATCTGAAGGCAAGGATTATGGGAACATTGACCAATTTAAACAAGGAAACCGTCCAGAAGAGTTGCAGGAGATTCCGAAGTCGTCTGGAGGTCGTGGCTGAAGCCAATGAAGATTTTATTGAATAAATTTACTCTCTGTGTGTAATTCTGGTAAATATATATCTTTTAAAATGAGATGTCAGTGTTATTTTCATATTTGGGTAATTTAGACGACAATTTATCCATCGCACCCGTTACATATATATATATATATATATATATATATATATATATATATATATATATATATATATATATATATATATATATATATATATATATATATCGGTAGTAATCCGTTGGTATATAATCCAAGTGAATCCTATTAACATAATATTAAATATCAAAACTGATTCACAAAGAGATCAATGTTTTATTATAAAAACAGAGTTAATATATTTCATACAATCGGAGTTAAGATACCATTATATAAATGATCATTTTCACATTGTAAAATTAAATTTACAGAATTTTTCAAATAGTCAATGGAAGATCATTCATTGACTGTTTGAAAAATCCTGTAAATTTAATTTTACAATGTGAAAAATGATCTTTTACATAATGGTATCCGATTGTATGATTATATATATATATATATATATATATATATATATATATATATATATATATATATATATATATATATGAAATGCATGTTTGTTTGTTTCAGAAAGACATACAGATAGTGAGATGTACAACAGGAGTGGTTTACTAGCTGTAAATCACCGACAAGTGTATTTTCTCAAGATGAGAAATGGCTGCCTTTAGAGGATAAAAAGCTGACACCTGTATTCGTTTGCACATGTTTTTCTGACAGATGCACATAACCTCACATTTGAAATGAACGTTGGAAGACAAACATGAAAGACCTATTCAGGACACACACACACACAAACACACACACAACGCAGAGAACACGTGACTGTTTCACACGTACGCAGGAGACATAGCTCCCCAAATGCCTGCAGGTGTATCTGTGAGTGTGTGCGGGAATATAAAATTATATAAAATGTGCACATAACAATCTCTCCGACAGTGCGATCTTTAACATGGTGGTTATAAGAAAAGAGAAAAGTCTCACTAGGTGCCATAATATAGCGACTTTGTATCATGGCAAAGTTTAATAGCGAAAGGTTTGTTAATAAATTTCTACAACATGGCTTGCAAATAAAACCTAACACGGTTTCTTTATATCGAGAAGTGGAGAATTTAATGTGTGAAGAGGAATTTTTAACGTTTAAAAATGTAATCATAGCCTGCATGCAGTTAATGGGTTTGATCCTAGCTGTGGACTTGACTGTTTTAAAATCGAATCAAACAAAAAGGTTATTAATTTCACGTTATTGTGTAGTTTAAATACACTTTTCTTAAAAGTTGTTGTTAAAACACGAAAAAGATGGCCATATAAAAAAAAATTAACACGAGAAATCGCTATATGAAAAATAAACACGATTAAAAAAATCGCTTTATAACTGCGAACCGGTGTTTAAACACATAATACAAATATGCGTGTGTTGTGTTTCAATTTGATACATGTACATAATATTTAAATATGTGTAAATTCACGCATTCGAGCATACACGTAATATATACACATTTACAACAAAAACAATAGGGGATTCTACAAAGAAACATACGTTACAAATACTTCAATGTAAACGAGCGAATACATATTTATACACATCTATACGTGGTTGTGTTGCTAAAAAATTACAATGGTGCTCGTATATACGGTATGCAGGTAGATTTTCAGAAGCGAGTGAGAAAATACATTGTTTTGAATCAAACTTCGTTTTGCAAAACGAGAAAAAAACTCACCCAAATTGGTAGGTGACCACGTCCATTACTTATAAAAGAAGAAAAAAAGAAAATAAACAGCCTAGGAAAAAATATCCGGCCAGTTCAAGCTGTCAGGCCCATCTTATTTTGCTATAACTTTTGTCAACTCTGAATTTCATTAAAATAGTAATAAAAAAAAATTTTATAGAACTTTGTCGATTTTGTCCGTATATGAAATTACTAGAAACGACTTTAGATATGATGAGTTATCGTCTATCAGTTTTGGCTGAAGGATTCAACTGGCATTTTATCGTTGGGGTTGTCGTCGTCGTTGTCGCTCGTGGGGCAATTTTTTCCTTGTCGTTGTCGTGTACACACTTAGAAACTGGGAATTTCTCGGAGTACGCTTAGAGCGATAGTGTGTGTCAACTGGTATGTGGTCAACAGTTGCGGTGTGGGGGTGAGACACTTGAGTTAATGGAGAAGATAGGGAGGAAAAGGGAGAGATGACAGAGTAAAAGAGCGTAAAAAGAAGACCTGTACGATTCGATTGAATGTCTAAACTACAGACAAATAAATTAAATAATAATAAAGCGGCAGTACATTCCTCAAGACAGAAAGTAAAGAGAGTAAAAAAGAAGAGAGAGGGGACAAAGAAGAGAAGCGCGAGAGCGAGAGAAAGATTAATTAGTTAAGAGAGAGAGAGAAAGAAAGAGAGAGAGAGAGAGAGCGCAAAAAAAGAAAGCTAGAAAGAAAATGAAGAGAGAAGGAGACAGCATGGAATAAAGCGAGGTAATAAATCCTGAAAAGATAGATAAATAGTGGAGCTTAACATAACTGGAGAGAGGTAGAGAGGTAGAGAAATAAGAAAAGAGTGAGAAGATATAAAAAGTGAAACGGTAACGAGATGAAAGGAAGGAAAAAGAAAAAGTAAAAAACAGATGAAAAAATTGTCAGTGAGAGTGAGTGAGTGAGAGTGAGAGAGAGAGAGAGAGAGAGAGAAGTCTATAAAAAAGGAAACAGAGTAACAAGAAAAGAAAAGAGAATAAAAAGAAAGAGAGAAGAATAGAAGAAAAAAGTCGAAACGTAAAAAAAAATAGATTGGTCAGTGAGAGAGAGTGAGAAGTCAAGAAAAGAAAGAGAGGGAAATGGAAGAGAGAAACAAGAAGTCGAAAATTAAAAAGAGATGAAAAGAACTGTCAAAGAGAGAGAGAGACAGAGAGAGATAGTGTGAGAAGTCGAAGTTATAAAAATGAAACAGTGTAAGTAAAAAGAGAAAAAGAAAGATAGTCGAAAATTAAAAAGAAAAGAAAAGGGAAAGTGCGAGAGAGATAGAGATAGAGAGAGAGAAAGAGATAGTTGTGTGTGCGAAGTAGGTGGAGGTGTGGGCGTGTTAATCATAGCGAACTGAAAAAAAAAAACATAAAACACAACAACAACAAAAGAACGTCTAGGACGCAAAACAGGAATGAGATTATATATATTTGATTTTGGCGCCTGGCAATTATGTGGAGTTTGTGGTCTGTCACGTGACGCCTTAACGAACGGGTACACGCTATCGGAGGTGTTTAAAACCGAAGGAATGGCAGTGAGCCCAGGCTGTAGGGTAGAAGACAGACAGAGAAAAGATAATAATAGATTAAACCGTCGTCGTCGTTGTTATAATGGTGGTGATGGTGTTGGTGGTGGCAGTGGTGGTTGGATGAGGCAGAGAGACATGAATGGTTTGATTAGTGGTGGTGGTGATGATGCAGAGTGGGTGGGTGTCAGTGTCAAAGTACTCTTGTGAGACTCTGAGGGGCATTCGAGAGCATGACTAATTTACATGTGACTTGAAATGAAGGTAGATTTTAAAAAGCATTGCAAATGTTCTCGATTTTGTCTTTTTTTCTTTCCTCTTTCTTTCTTTCTTTCTTTCTTTCTTTCTTCGTAATTATCCCCTCAAAAACAGCCTTGTAGGTTAAACATTTATTTACCAAGCTGAGATTAGTTGTCTGGAACGTGACCGACAATAATTGTAGAGTACCTACTGAGGATCGAACTCAACAAGTAATGAACTGCTAACCTTGCTTGTTAACCATTACCACTTGAAGATAATATTCGAACAAGCACTAAAATGTTGTTGGTCGAATCAAGAATGAAGAAGCGATTTAAAAAAATATCGGATCTTTCGTCATTTAGATTTTCGGCAACCCTTCATAATAATTTGGTTCTTTCTTTCTTTCTTTCTTTCTTTCTTTCTTTCTTTCTTTCTTTCTTTCTTTACCTCTTTTCTTTTCCTCCTATCTTTCTTTCTTTTCTTCTTTCTTTCTTTATCTTTCTTTCTTTCTTTCTTTCTCGATTTACCTTTCGCATATTTTTTCATAACAACAATTATCGCTAAAAGATGATTGAAAAATATCATTCAATTTCTTTTTAATTCATCAGTTATAATAGCGATATTTGGAACTTGTGGGATGTTTCAACCAATGAAGAAGAAGAAGAAGAAGAAGAAGAAGATGAAGAAGAAGAAGAAGAGTGAGAGAGGGAGAGAGAGAGGAGATTTACACGTGAACTCTCTCTATAACTATAAACGATCTTCAAAGCCAGCAGTGAGCATGCGCGCGTCGGGGAAGACAATGAATGGAACCTAAAAATATTTCTTATTTATCGAGTTCGTTTTAATAAAATACTTCCAATAAAACGATGCTTTAAGTTCACAGCTAACGACACTTGAATGACTATATTTACTGTGCAATCTCAAACAACTTATTTCTGATAATTGCTTCGAGGATGATTTACGATTGCTGAAAAGTGCAAAAAGTTATATATAATTATTACTCAATTCCAATTTTTATATCGTGAGTTTATAACTACAGGACAAAAATCACAACGTATTAATGGAAAGGTTGACGAGGTCTGGTTAACACTTGAGTCAAAAAAGCAGAGATAGATTCTATTTATATAAAAAGGAAGGTATAAGTCCTGTTGATACTAGAGCTGTGTTTCTCAACTTTTTTAAGCAACGGCACACCTAAGAGCAAATGAAAATATCACGGCCCACTTAGCAAATTTTTTAAAGGGTATAGATTTAAATATTATGAATTAAAAGCATAGATTAAAAATAAATACGCAGACAAATATGAACTTACTTTATTTCAATGTTTCTATTCAAATATTTGTGCAGCTTATTTAGTGTGAATTTTTT